GGTATGTGCTTGCAACCAAGGTACATGCCCTTGACCGGAATCGAACCCAGGACCCTTGAGTCCGGAGGTTGACGCTCTATCCCAGTGGTTCTCAACCTTCTGGCCCTTTAAATACAGTTCCTCATGTTGTGACCCGACCATAAAATTATTTTCGTTGCTACTTCATAACTGTAATGTTGTTATTGTTATGAATCATAATGGAAATATCTGATATGCAGGATGGTCTTAGGCGACCCCTGTGAAAGGGTCGTTCGACCGCCAAAGGGGTCGCGACCCACAGGTTGAGAACCGCTGGTCTATTCACTGAGCCAAACTAGTTAGGGCTTAACAATTCTTGTAACCAGTTTACTTTGGGAAGGAGGAAAGAATGAAAATTGCGAAGTTATATCGCAGCAAGCTGTCATTCCTTAAAGAGAACCTCTCCTTTTTCTGTGTTGTACTGTTATTTCTGGTGGTTGTCCATACCGAATTTACAAATCAAACTTGCAGTCTTAAAAATGTAAAATTATTAACTCTGAGTGTTGTTGCTCAATGGGTAATTACCTCTTGGCACCCACTTCCATTCGCCCAGGGTTTTGATAATAATAGCCCTTACAGTTTGTCCAAATTTGAGCAGCTCCTGACACAGACAAAAGGTACTCAGTGAACTTGTGATGAATGAATGAATGACAAGCTCTAATTTTCCAGTGTCTGTGTTAAATTTTGGTAAACAAGCAGAGGAAGACTGTGTGTCTCCTTTTCAGTAAACCACACATGTCCCCCCCATCACCAATTATTTGGAATTCTGGGGAAGAGAGTCAGAACTCACTGAGGCTTCTGTGCTAGCTGTCACTGTAGTGTGTACTCAGACTTTCATTAGCATCTGATTTAATGCTGAAAACCACCCATTGAAATGGCTGCCAACATTCTCCTAACTTTACACGTTTAAGAGACAAATTTAGGTTACTAACTTGGGTTGATAGACTTCCGATTTTCTGTGCGTTACTATGCATTATGCTAAAAGGCTTTTCTACTTCCTGTTCCTTGGGCACCTTCTTTTCACCTGAGACTAATCAAATTTGTAAAATCCTGCAAGTGTTGGTTTGTTTCTAGAGAGCTGTGCACATTCTTCACTATTTCATTATGACTCTTTTTTAGCATCTTCCTTTAACTTTGATACCATCTTATTAGGGAAGCAGATTAAAGATGTCATTTCCCTTGAATAAGAGCTTTACAGGAGAGGATCTCAGAGAAAGTGTCCTGGGCAGAAAATGAATCATTAATTGAAGACAAACAGGAGATAAAAGATGGTCTTATAAAAGAAGCAAAACATGAGTAGGAAAATGAATGAGAGGAGAAAACCGGATATATGGCATAGTTGCCCCTTGAACAACATGAGTTTGAGCTGCATGGGTCCACTTATACATGAGGGGTTTTTTTGTTGTTTTGTTTGTTTGTTTTATGTGTTTTTTGTTGTTGTTGTGTGTTTTTTTCAGTTAATACCTGTAGTGCTTTCTGTCTGCAATTGGGAGTCTGAGGGTAGACTGTGCTCATTGACCTGCACATATTTTATATAGGGGACCTGAGTACCTGAGCATTTTGACATCCACTGGAGGTTCTGGAACAATCCCCATGGTTACTGAGAGACACCTTTTGGGGGAATCAAGAGTTATATGCAGATGTTCAGCTGCTTTGGGTTCAGTTCCCCTAACCCCTGAATCATTCAAGGGTCACCTGTAGTTCCAAGGGATTAGAACAGAGAAATAAGGTTTAGATAAACCATGTAAATGTATAAGTCACAGTATAAGAAGGATGTTTAGTTAGGTGGAATTCCAGTCTAAATAAAGTAGAAAGGAAGTTAAAGTATTTGGGCATACCAGAGGATGCTGCTATTTGGAATTTATATAAGTTACAAACAGCTTTTGAATTACCCTTTACTCAGACTTGAGTACTAGAAATAAGAAATTATCATTAAAAGCTGACTTTCAATGAAGTATTTTTAAAAGGAGAAGCAAATAGTAGCAACTTTCCAACCTGAGGGAGTTAGAACTCAGTGTTTTGCTATTTTCCACACCTTGATGTCACCAAAACAGTTCATGGGTTTAAGAAAGTGTCAGAAGAGGCCTGCGTATGTGGTAAAGCTGATTATTTTTATTCCTTTAGCTAAGGAACATATACAAGAAGACAATGATCTCCCTTTGTATTCCAGTAAGAATTTCCATATAGAAAATAATTAAGCAGGATTAGCTATATCAGAAACCAATGCAGTGAACTTATATTGTACATATTAATATGATACTGTTCAGTGGGTATTTATTAAATGAACATTGACTTTGTGTTAAACTCAACAGGGACTATGTCAGCCTGGCAATTTTGTCACCTGCATACTCTATTGAATTCTTCAAAATGTATCCACGTATCCAGTTTTTCCTCCCTTTAGTGTCTCATTTAAATAATCAAACATAATTTTTGAAGAATGTCACATTCCATAAAATAAACTTAGAAACTGTCAACCCTGAACTCCCCTACTCAACCACAGCCTTACAAGGTTGAAAGCACAGAAATAGACAAAAAGACAATTTTTCTCAAGGTCTTGGGAAGTGGCCAGATGAACGTGTCCAGTCCTAGCATTTGCTGACATGCCGTTTTGCCGGATGCAGTCTTAGCTGCTTTATCCAATGCCTTTGTTCAAGATTAGATTCTTTTTCCTTCTGGCTTAGCTAAGGAATCCATTAACAGTTAGCTATTTCCTTTCCTATCGCTGATTCAAAGTGTGATAACTTTAGCAAATACAAAGTCATTTATTGTGGAGTATTTCATTAATTTAACTTTCTGCTTTAAATAACTGCCACCATTCATTTCTGCAATATGTTGACTACCTAAAGTTCTGTCCTTAATTGATAAATAAGTTGGGAGGGGTGAGAAATTAAATTTCTATAAAGATCACTTTAGTGTTAATCCCAGAAATTTCCCAGCTGCAATTTGATATAGAAGCTGCATTAGTTATACTGGTTTCCAAGAAAAAGTGAAGGGGCCATTGGCAAGGCCTCCCTTAATGGCTGAGGTGTCAATAGAAGCGAACAATACCCCTTCCTGTTAACACCGCCATCCCCAGATCTGTCATACATTTCAAATGGTTAAATAGGAAGAGGAATCTCTATATTTCAAGCTTCTTATTAATAGAAAAGTTGAATAATACAGAGAACTATTCTGTTCTTTCTTTTACTTCAAAAACATTAAACGTGCTTGGCTGGCACTTCCTAGGGTGAGAGAATGCTAGTAAGATATGAATTTTTGCCTGGCTGGTGTGACTCAATGGTTGAGCATAGACCCATGAACCAGGAAGTCATGATTCGATTCCAAGTCAGGGCACATGCCCAGGTTGTAGGTTCAATCCCTAGTAGGGGGTGTGCCAGAGCAGCCAATCAATGATTCTCTCTCATCATTGATGTTTCTCTCCCTCTCCCTGGAATCAATAAAGATATATTTAAAGAAAAAAAAGATATGCAGTTTTCATGCCCATATTCTCTTTCATACATGAGTTTTTGTTGGTAGACTAAAAACTCACAAACATGAACTCTGATTGGTAGAGAAATATGATGAAAGGTACTTTATATGAGCAGAAGCCATACAACTGTTTGGGGAGAGGTCTCTTGGAAGGTTAGAGCAGTGACAGTAAAGGGGAGCATGCTGTGCAATCCACTCAAATAACATTGCTAAAAAGGACATGTGATCAAACATGTGATTGAAATTGTTGCTGTTGTTTCAATGAGGATAAAGTCTTTTAGAGAGACCAGTGATAGTGAGACCTGATTAAAATATTTGTATCCTATATAATAAAGAGCTAATATGCTCATTAGACCAAACAGCAGAACAACCGTCCGGATGAGCTTCCGGATGAAGCCAGGGCTGCAAGGGCCGAGCCTCTTGCATGAATTTTATGCATCAGGCCTCTAGTTTTATATATAAAGATTTCACCTTGAAAGAATGTCCTCATCTGACAGTTGCCAAGAGACCATCTAGTGAGGTCTCACCACCAGTGCAAAGTAGCATCGGTGGAATGTAATTTATTTATTTATTTTTAAATATATTTTATTGATTTTTTACGGAGAGGAAGGGAGAGAGATAGAGAGTTAGAAATATTTTCTATCCACTGAGCAAAACCGGTTTCGGTGGTGGTACGTAATTTAAGTGAGGACAGTGCAGGTTCTACACTCTTAGCCATTTATGGTATAAATATGTACAACCAAAGGAAAAGGGCTGCAACTGAATCTGCTTTGAATCCAAACTTTTTATGGATCATGAGTTTTTTTAAAAAATATATTTTCCAAAAAATGGGATAGCAAGTAGAGATCATTTCATTGGGAAATCCTTCTGGGTGAGAATGATACAGAAGGAGATAGTGTGTTTGGTTTATTTCATTGTGCATAAACATGGGGTGTTTTTGCTTTTTTGTTTTTTGTATCTCCTGTATGAAAATAACACTATTGAACTAATGTTATCAGGGCAGGTGCATAATATTTCATGTTTAATTGATGAATTTATATTTTAACTACTTATTCATAAAACTCACCCACCCATCTCCCAGTGTACATGCACACACAGACACACACACAGTCCTCTTTGGGATAGGTGACATGTCTTTCCATGGCAGCTGGCTGAAATTAAGTTATAGGCAGTGGTCATGGAGCTCAACTACTGAAGCTAGTTGCCTGGTGAAGGGACTGACCCTGTAATATTAGCATGATTAACATCAGGTACTAACCACCTAAATCAAAGCCCAGAGTCCCACTCTGATGTTGGGGAGTCTCACCATCCCTCAATGAAAAGGCCTCCTGTTGCATTCTTCCACATAATATGATGATGCTGATTTCTAGTTTTGTCATGGAAGAGACTTATATACAGTTATGTGACCGATAACTTTCATACAAAATATACTGTTACATTAAAGCATTAAAATAATCCTAAGTGATCTAAAAATAGAAAACACCAGTTTCTCATATTTTTCAATTACTTTTTAGGTCCTGTGGATGTGACTATTTTAGCTAAATGTAATCCTTGCTTATCGAATCCATGCAAAAATGATGGCACCTGTAACAATGATCCAGTTGACTTTTATCGCTGTACCTGTCCATATGGTTTCAAGGTGAGTCGAAGGTGTCATAGGAACCATGATCTGAAAGCATCACTCTCATTGCCGGGCCTGCCTCATTTTAGTGTGCTGTCAACTACCTTATTTTATTGTGCTAACAACTACTTTACTTACACCCAACTCTGCTTGGCCATTCCTTCTCCAGGGGCAGGACTGCGATGTCCCAATTCATGCATGTATCAGTAACCCATGTAAACATGGAGGAACTTGCCACTTAAAAGAAGGTGACAAAGATGGATTCTGGTAGGTCATTCATTAGTGTGTGATCTGTGTCTGAGGTATTGGAGCAAGAATTACTAAGCAAACACATTCTTCTTTTCAAATCTGGGAACGTTATTTTAAAATGAATGCCAGGAATCAATTCACAAGAACAACATGTGTGAGTCCCTCTCTAAGATATTGCAACATAAAAACAAATAGAGGTGTTTCAGTATTTTCAGCTCAGGCAGCTACAAAATCCAGAAATTGTAAAACATGTACACGCACACATTATGATTAATCAAGTTAGATTAGATCAAGACAATGGAGTGGCTATATTATGCTAATCAATAGCCAACTAGTCTCCTACTGAAAGTTATATATTCATTTGTTGCTGTGTGTATTGCTTTAAAGACAGTGTGTAATGAAAAGATGTAGGTCCCACTGAAACAGAAAATTAATGATTCATTTTCAATCCCCAATATAAGAAGACAACCATGCTCTGAACATTTTTAATCTGGAATTATTTAATCATACAGTACAATTACCTCAAATGTACTTTATGAATTATGAAATAGAGTTCTTATGATGACACTAATAATTTTGCATAAGAATGCTAATGTACTACTAAAGCTTGTTAGGAATATCACTTTTTATAATAAATAGGCTTCATTTCTGCATTCTGTTATGAAGCTGTCTCTTTTTCATCAAGGCTTTTCAAAGATTATTCTGATACCTAGCAAGATAAAATGTACAGAGTTTTATGCCAATGGAAAAAAATTGCATTTGTTGAGACATAAAGAGAACATTCACATTTTATAATTGCAAGGAAGACAAAATTTGTTTTTCAAATTCTCTTTTGGTTTTGTTTTGAGACATCAAGAACATTATGCCTAGGGTAGTAGGTGTTGTCATTTTTTTAAAAATCAGAACCAGTTCCTCGTCACTTGTGAGCAAAAAAGTATTGATTATTTTATTAGAGCACAACCTGAGATTAAAATAGAGTAAACTTTGCTTGTGTTGTAGATCTGCAGATATATTGGATTTATTAACTTACAGGGCCATTTCCATCCAGCATTAATTTTTTTCGAATTGTTTCTGATTTGCAGGATATTACCTTGAATGAATGCTTACAGCATGTCATTTAAAAATCAATTTTTTGTAGTTAAAAGTTCTGTAATTGAAAAGTGTATTTAGTATTTTTCAATATGTAGACCACATGTTTTTTTTAAATGCAGAGTTGTTATTTTTTTTTTTTTTTTACTTTTCCCCCCTTCGGTGTTCAGGTGTATTTGTGCTGATGGATTTGAAGGAGAACACTGTGAAATCAATATCGATGACTGTGAAGATAATGACTGTGAAAATAATTCTACTTGCGTTGATGGGATTAACAACTACACATGCCTTTGCCCACCTGAGTACACAGGTAGGAAATGCTCAGCCATCGGTCCATGTATCTGAATGCATCATGGGAATCTTGCTGCATGTGTTTAGTAAACCATTGCATAATTCAATAACTGGTAGGTGTTTGGGAAATTAGAGGTAATGTAAATAACAGCCAGAGTCAACAATGGTTTCAGCCAACCCAATGAAAGACCCGCCAAGCTCGGTTATCTATCATGTTATTGCTATCCAGCAAAATCAGGAGTTACATACTGAACCTATTAGTCTCACAATTGAGTGGTATCACACACAAAGCATTTTTCCTGTGCTAACCAACACATGTAAAAAGGGGCATTTTTTAATATAGTCAAAACATAATTAAGCATTTTAGATTGTATCCATACTTGCTTCTTCACCAATGAGTGCTTTCATCTAATAACTCATGTTCTTCAAAATAAAATACAAATATAAAAATATTGACCACTTTGAATAATCTTATGAGACTGTCACCTTCTTTCTGACGTTTTGTTTCTTGAGACGATAAATCTCATAAGGCTGTTCAACCTACTTAACTTTTTCCCTGGATAAGTCAATTGGCTGTAAAGTCAACATCAAGCTTATAACTTGGCTATTATGTAAGAATATCTATTTTTTAAATATATTTTATTGATTTTTTTTACAGAGAGGAAGGGAGAGAGACAGAGAGTTAGAAACATCGATGAGAGAGGAACATCGATCAGCTGCCTCCTGCACATCTCCCACTGGGGATGTGCCCGCAACCAAGGCACATGCCCCTGACCGGAATCAAACCTGGGACCCCTTAGTCCGCAGGCTGACGCTCTATCCACTGAGCCAAACTGGTCTCGGCGAATATCTATTTTGATGTAGTTTTGTGGCTATGAAGAAGAAACATCACAATTACAATCTTGTTTTCTTAATAAACCACCACTGAGAGAATGTTATGAATTTGATTTGTAAGAAAAAGTGGAGCAGTAAATTCTGTCACCCTTTTTGAAGTTGCCATTTTCATGTGACTGGGTACATTTCATTAGCTGCATGTATTTCCACATGATGTAATACATAGTTAATATCAGAGGGTGAAATAACTATGTAGATGCCTAAGGTCAGCATCTCCAAACATGAAAGATGAAGTCACATCGTATGACTAACTGTCCCAGGATTTATTAGGAAAGCATGGACATTTAAGCGTTTATGACATGCCCCAACTCTGCATTTCACTAAGTACCTTTCTTGATGGGAAAATGCGAGATAGAATAATGGGGTGTTGTTTTGACGACCCAGATCTGTCTGAATGCCTCTGAAGCTGCCTTCTCATGGTTGGATTTTTTTTTATACCAGTGAAGCACCCAATGCCATATACAGTAATATACTTAGTTACAGTAGAAAATTGAACATGTTATATCCGCCAATTTCTCTGTTATGTATATGCAGCCCTTGGGCTCCTTAAAGGGCAGAATTTGAGTGTTCTTTGATATTTTGAATTAGTGAAGGAGAGCAAGTGTATTCAGCATGCACTGAATCGCTGGGGCCTCCCCTGAGAATTGAGTTGTATTGCATAGTCTCATTCAGACCTGTATATAAAGCACAATGTTTGCACTAAAATCTGTTACCTAGATAGAATCATTTTCTTTTTCTGCTATTGCTCTATCATCATCACAGAAAGAGTTTAATTCATGTAATCTTTGAGGCCTTTTTAAACTAGTATACTCTGGCCAGGAGAAATTGGACCAAAGCACTTCAAACACACCTTGGCCAGCTAATGAGATCCAGAGCCCAGCAACCAGGAATTGGTCAAAATCCTCCTTGTGTTGACAACCCAGGCTTGAGAGCGCTGAGGTCTTTGGATTCTCACATGCCTTTCTTTTTTTTTTTTCATGATCAATTACAGAAGGTGGCAGATTCTTCTGAGTTGGTTTGGAGGGGTTCCCCTGCTTTGGCTTGAGATCTGCTGTACCTTCTTCTTTATCTGTTTCTTTTGAGTCTGTTTTATCTTCTCAACCTACATGTCCCAACCTCCCTTCTTACACCTGATCCTCTGGCCCACATGTTATCTCTACCCGAAGTGACTCCGTTTAGTGCGGCTTCCTCTGAAAAATATTATGAAGCCTCATCTCTCTGTGCCAGATCTCTTCCTCTGAAACATAAAAAGAAAAACAAAACAAAACTTAGCAAAACCACTGTTTAGCCAAAATTTGACATCCATTAAAGCTATCACGTGGGAACCTGCCAGGACTATCTGTCAAGAGCCATTTCGTTCTCCTGAGACATGTTGAGTCTTTTTAAGCACAGCTATTACAGATATCAGTTTGCCTGAATTTTGGCAAAGTATAAACAAAAATACTGAGCTCGATAGAAACTTAATAGCATGAAGATATTACCACTCTGACTTTGGGCTGAGTCTTGTGGGCAGTAAAGAGTTTGATGATTTGGCATTAGAGCAAATATCTAAATGAGGCCCTTTTGTAGCTCATCTATGCACTATAGCATTTTTGTCCATATGTGAGATGAGCTCATTTGCAAAATATCAAACAACCATCTGCAGATTTTGAAGTTAGTGGCACATAGTGGCCTTTAATTATAGGAAAATATAAATCGGGCTCCGGAGTTTTATATCCTGCTTCATCCAAGTCCACAGTTAGGGAGGAATTTTCGTATAATGCGGCTGTATTGTTTTAGATGTAAGTTTGGAGTCTGATTAATGAGCATGAGATCTGGGAACAGAAACCCTGCTATGTTCAGGGAATATAATAATGTTGTCATTGTTTAAACATCATTCAAGTCACAAGTTGCTTTCTGTTTGAAGATTTTTCACTCGATGCCCCAAAGGCATGGATGGGAACGTGAACTCTTTAGTTGGAACAAATAAAACTTCATGGAAAAAGCTCATAAATTATTATGGGGGAAGGCTTTACATTTGGCATCCGTGGCAAGAGTCAGACTGGACATACTATTGCTAATGGAGAAAATGCAGAGATCTGAAAGCAGTTTGACGGAGAAATCTCGATGTGATGGGCAGGCTATAAAACATGACTACAAATATCAAAAATAAAATGAACCACCATTGGGAAGTTTATTAAATTTATTTAAGCCTGTGTGACCAGCACATTATAGTAAATAGTTATTGATTTATCAGAGGACAAAACTATCTGCTTTTTTCTGCTTCAGGGATTAACAACATACATTTTAAGGATCAATATTGATTTTATATTATCTAAAACTTATTATACCCTCCCCTCCCCCAGTTATCAAAACTGTTGTTTTCTACTTAATTCAGTCCATTATCTGTTCCAGTTGTATAATAGATGGTTGTTGATGGCTAATTCTTCAGACAGGTTAATTCTTGAAAAGTTTAATCCCATATGATTCTAAATTGAAACCACTACTCTAAGGATTGAGCATAGTTAATTTTGGAAAAGTTTGATTCAGTATTATTTTAAATTAAAATACACCAAGAATGGAGCAAGTCAGACTCAGAAATTGCTAAGCAAATAATTTTAAAATTTACTCTAGGGTTTTAATTTTAGCTTGAGAAATTGTTTTTAATTGTTTTATTTTTTAAAATCATTGTTGTATCCTTTCTAAAACCAAGGCATTTCTTGAAGGTGCATTTTCAAGGAATCCCTGCAATCACATAAGCTCAAAACTTACAAAAATGAAAATTATAAACATGGCACCCCTGCCATGTTGAGAACTTGGCGCCCTCTCTTAAACTCTGGTATGAATTTAGGTGTTGACTTGGAAAATGTGTTTTTGCATGTTTCCCGAGAGTCAGACCCTGGATCTGCTCTGTCAAGGCTATGTTTCTTAATCAACCCTACTTTCATGGAACCACATGCGAAGATGACACACAATTGATCACACTGTAACCCAGGATATCACTTAACGGGATTACCCAAGTTCTGTACACGAAAGTTTCCATACCAGTTGGGCATGTAAAGATGCGGAAAACATTGAGACCATTTTAATCTTTCCACGTTGTACCCTTATCTCTTTGTTTTCCTAACCTCCCATGCCCACACACTAACCATGACGTGCACGTGTTAAAAAGTAAGGCTGGTTGAGTGACCTGGTTGAGACGCAGATCCCTGGCTCCCTGTGATGGCGTTTGCCTATCGCCTCTTGTCTCCCTGTTTGTGCGCTTGGCCGGCTGTAGGTAAGGAATCCAAGCCTCACTTCTCCTCGCCCGCCCGCTCACTCTGGGCCCTTCTGTTATAAATACACTGGCTTCCTGTGCTCTGCTGTTGTATCGCAATGTAAATAGTCTTTTGTCTCTTCTGTCTTTGTCGCTGCCAGCTGCTAATCTGAATGAGGTGGAAAAAGGTTAGTTGCCTTTTAAGTCTACTATGATTTTTATTTGTTTCCCTCTTTCTGTTAAAGCTATATGGATGTCATTATATGTACATGGTAAAAGGAATGTGGAAGAAATCTGAAATTAATATGTTGATTCAGTCATGCAGATCCTTGATGTATGGGTAGCTATGCCAAGCACTATAAAAAGGGCAGCTGACATGCACTTGCCCAATTTGTAGAAGGCTATGAAAGAAACCTCTGAGCGGGAAGAGGGTGGTGAAAAAGAAAGGCTAGTAATTGCTACTTTCTACTTGTCTGTTTGCTTTTACTCTTTAAAAGATATTACAAACATGAATTATTTTTATAATGAAAAATATAGATCATTTAGGGTACCTAGGGTATAGATAGAAGTATTTTCAATACTGGGAATTTTTCAATAACCTTAAAGTAATATCTTTAGTAAGTTGAAACAAGAGAAATATTGAAAGATGTATAGATTTATGTAAACATTTTATAAAATAAATATGACAAAGCCCAAGAGGTTGGTTTATAGAATGACATTGTTGAATTCATGTTACAGTACATCCTAAGTACTAGGTAGTATTTTTTAATGTATTTTTATTGATTTCAGAGAGGAAGGGAGAGGGAGAGATAGAAACATCAATGATGATAGAGAATTACTGACTGGCTGCCTCCTGCATGCCCCCTACTGGGGATTGAGCTTGAAACTCAGGTGTATGCCCTGACCAGGAATCAAACCATGACTTCCTGGTTCATAGGTCTACAATCAACCACTGGGTCACGCCAGCTGGGCAAGGCAGTATTTTTAAAACATAAAGAGAGCCATATCCAATCATTGACATCAATATATTCTATATGGCTCCCCAAATCCATCAGGGCCCAGGAAAGGGAGTCCTAGAAATGATCAGGGCAGTAGGCATGCCTGAGAAATCACCACGGAACCTTTGTGAAGCCTTATCTCAAAGTTTCAGAATGATTGCTAATAACATTGGACTTTGACTCAATCTGTTGGCCAAAAGTCTTTAAGTGCCAAGGGCAGGCTCAGCGGCCTCTGAGGAGCCCCATGTGTGCCTGTCTTGACAGTGCCAGTTGTCTGTGGAGCACTGGCAGGAAGATTACAGGGCTAATGCGGGTACGTTATACAGCAGCCCACCCTGTCTCCTCCTGCTAAGGACTTCATTTCTTTCTGGTGCGTCATTCAGGCGATTTACTGTTTGGTCACTTACCAAACACAATTAAGTTGACAAACATGAAAAAAAAAAAGGTTTCATATTGTAAAATGTAAAAATCTAGCCTGGTCAGTTCTCTGTGGATTAATGCATTCAATACCATTCTTGGTCAAATACCATCTCTCCTTTTTCCAAGTACTAACTCATGTGGTGATCTGGGGCAGGGGTGTCTAAGGTCTGAGTCTCCCAGAAACAGAATAGCAATTGTTCTGTCACAGGAACATGCCCTTAAGTAGCTCTGTGCACTCTCAGGAGCAAGCCTGGCAGTGCGATAGTATTTCCAATCACCACGTGGTTTCATGTGTTGACTGCATTTCATGCTTAGGTTTATAAAACATGTCTTTTCTTTCCAAGAATCTGCTGATGACTGAATCTGCTTCTAAAAGCAGTCAAACTGTTCTCTATTTTTTAACCCCAAACTTAACTAGAAATGAAATTTCAATTTCTTTATGACAATGAGGGTAATTTTCTTAAATAATAAAAAAAAAGTTCTAGAATTAGCTGACATAGGGAAGCTGTTTAAATCCCTGTAGACATGAACAATAAGGGTTGGAGCAATAACTTGTATAAAATGATGAGAAAGCACTTACCCAAGGATCCACAGCTTGTAAAGAGGGGTCCATCCAATACCTCGCTGACCCCACGGCATGCCCTCTGACTTGGGGGACTTGCACTAGGACCAGTCCCTGCTTATCTGCTGCCACGGTCCAGGCTCAGAATCGGTACCTCTCACAATGGCCCCAACTGACCGATGATGCCCAACAAGCTTTTCTGCTGCTGTCTCGCCAGCTTGCCATACACAATGCCCCTGATGTGCATTTGGAAAGCGTAAAGGGAACCACAAAATTCAGGTGCTGACAAGCAGTCTGTTTTATCTACACATGAGGGAAAAGAAGTATCCAATCAATGCCTGCAAATTTAATCTACTAATTAATTAATTAATTACCCCTGATGACGAGTCTACTTTCCATCACTGGATACTGATGAATTCGTCCAGCTAATGGGAGAAGCTTAGGTTTCTCATCCTAATATTTAGGATGGGGCCACTCCCAGTCTTTATTTCCTTTCCTTTCCTTTTTTTTTTCCTTCTGTGAAACAGGGATAATGACATCTATCCCACCTCAGAATAACATGGAAGGATAGATGGGAAAACACTTTAAAATGTTACATGTCTATCTGCAAGAGATATCAGAGCTGCTTTGTATGACTGATGTAAAGTTTGCATCATTTAATTCCAACCATCATCACTGCATTGACATAGATGAGCTGATGCCATTCCTGATGGCATACGAATTCTTATGATTATTTTGATATAGAAAATCCCGCCTAATGGAAATTACATGTGTAAATGAAATTTTTCTCCCCATATTCTTTAGTACTGCCTTTTTAAAAAGTATTATTTTTTTATGCTCACTATGATGAAAAGGCTTTATTTGATGTTAAGCCTTTGGTTCTCTTCACCCCCTTACTCTACTTTGAAGTGGAAGGAAATAGTAAATGCTGAAGAACTCTTGGGCTTGGTTGCATTTTTTAGGTTTTGTGTATGTTTTTGGATTTTCATGATCTTTTAAAAATAGTGACCCCTTCTGTTATTAATTCTGCCTCGAGATGTGTAAGGTCTTTATAGCAGATTTAATATAGTTGCAGACATACCTGCAGTCTGTTTTAACTATAGAGAATACATTGGCAGCCTAATGATATTGTGTGGTTTGCATTCATCTTTCAACCTTGCAAAGCCTTCTTAAAAGCCTTTGAACCTCAGAAAACATTTTAATGATCCTGTTTGCTCTTAAGTTAATAGGCAGGGACCACTGAGCCCAGAACAACAGTCTAGCTTAACTAAGCCTTATTCAATCCAACTTGGATTTATTTATTTTTAAAAAAGATTTAAATATTTCTGCAGTTTCAGTAGCTGTTGGAATTAGCTCCATTATTTAGTTCCAATGAGGAAGTACTGAAAAAGACTTCCTTTTCTGTTTATTTATTGGGGAGGTAAGTTTTTCCATTTTGAAAACTCAAGAGATATTTATTGAGAAAATACCTTATGCAGGACACTGTGCTAAGCTTCCAAAAATGCATAAAACATTACCCTTGTCCACCGGGCAAATTCTTTGGCTTTGGTCCTCACTGCAAGTTCAGACTAGGTCAGTTGTTTTGCTAAAGTCATCATTCCTCATATCCCAGGAAAATCAACAGCATCATATAGTTACTCCACCAGTTCATGAGCAAAGAGAGACCCCTGACTATGAAAATGAATCAAATTCTCTGGCAAGCAGGCATTATGGAGCAATCCATTCTACATCATTGAGACCATAAAAGGATCGTCCTTGTTGGAAACATTTTCATATCCACATTTATAGCATGTTTTCTGGAGCTTTCCTATTTTGCATTATGGTTAACTCCATCTCACGAGGTTACTCTGTGGCCATGGCCTGCTTTTGCATGTGTCCCGTTTTGCACAATTTTGGCACCAAGAGGACATGCATGAGGGGCTCCCATATTTTTAGGAATTCACAGTCCCTCAGGATCGGTTCTCGGTATTTCTCTACTAACAATGGGACTTCATTAAGTTCAGGGAAGTGCATGTGATCTGGATTGTTTATTGATCCTATTGCGAAGGTCAGTTAACTATTTCCAACTGAGAGGACACATTTCAGGACAGTTAACACAAATAAGAAAGCCTCAGATATGGAAAAAGAATCTTCAGAAAATGTTGGCTTTTTTGAAAAAATAAGAAATAGAGTCACACCATTTATAAGTAATCCTTTACTAATGGAAATGCAGTCAATTGTTACCACCAGCACTGACAAGATTAGAGACTGGGCATCTGCCCATGGTAATGTGCTATGAAATGTGGGTGAAAAGCTTGAGCAGAGCCTGCAACAAATAGTTCCAGCCTGGCCCAGCAAGAGAGGAGGAAATGGAGATGATTTTTGTGCAAGTCCAGTTCAGTTAACCTGGCCTGGGATGAGTCCCAGAATCTCATCATCTGTGTCCACCCTCTATGTTCACCCATCTCCCTGCTCCACTGCAAGGTCTGAGAGAGGACACAGAATGTTTTTCTTCTTTGAGGATATTTTTTCTTCATTTGAGGATATTTTTCCATTGGTTTTCAGAGAGAGTAGAAGAGAGAGGAAAAGACAGAGAGAAATATCGATGTGAGAGAAACACATGGGTTTGTTGCCTCCTGCACAATCCCAAGCCCCAACCAGGGCCCCGGCCTAGGAGGAGCCTGCAACCAAGATGCATGCCCTTGACTGCAATCAAACCTGGGACCCTTCAGTCTGCAGGCCAACGCTCTATCTACTGAGCCAAACTGGATAGGGGGAGAATGTTTTTCTTTACACAAATAAAGATCAAATGGAAAGCTGCAGTGAAATATTACCTCACACTTTTCAGAATGGCTACCATCAATAAATCAACAAACAAGTGCTGGTGAGGAAGTGGAGGAAAGGAAACTCCCGTGCACTGTTGGTGGCCATGCAGATCGGTGCAGCCACTGTGGGAAGCAGTATGGAGTTACCGCAAAACATTAAAAATGGAACTGCTTTATGACCCAGCAATTCCACTCCTGGGAATATATCCGAAGAAACCCAAAACAATGATTCGAAAGGATATATGCACCCCTGTGTTCATTGCAGTGTTATTTACAATAGCCAAGATTTGAAAGGAGCCCAAGTGCCCATCAGTAGATGAGTGGATAAAACAGCTATGGTACATTTACACAATGGAATACTACTCAACCTTAAAAAGGAAGGAAATCTTACCCTTTGCGACAGC